TTCTGTTTATATTTCCTCACGAGCATTTCCAACCCATAAGGCACGTGTTAATTTCTTAAAACTTTAAATTAAGATCGTTATGCTTATGTTTGACCCCATTTTGATTTACATATAAAAAGATTCTGCACAACTACAGGCAAATATTTTCCTAACAGTGTGCGAAGATTTTCACTGCGATGCACACGAACTGGGAAAAAACATTTTCAAGAAAAATGCTTGCATACTAATATACAGGATACTGGGAGTGAAAATAAAGGTTAAAATTCATTAAAACCAAAAAAAATTATATATTAAATTGCTTATTTGTAAGTCAAAAGATAAATAAATCTTTTTGAGTAAGCCAGCATGCAAATCAGGTAAAATGTTTAAGCCAATAACCTTAAAAACAAAAATAGAGTCGTTTGAGTTCTCACCAACATAAAGTTTGTGTCTTGGGTATATTTAACTTGGTGCTGCGACAAAAATGTCATCGCCAACTGAAATAGCTACTAACAAGGGGATTTAAATACGTTTTGGTTCCGCGAGTCTTTTAACTTTCTTTTTAACCTTGTTTTTGTATACGCCTCCCACCTCATTAAAATTTTAAAAGGTTCTACTCTTGAAATAGGGAGAAATTCTGTTATAAAAGATGTATTCCAAACTATATTACTACAAAAATATTTTTTAGTTACTCCAATTTTTCGTTTTAACATTGGTTGGTTCTTAATTGATAATATATTATCAGGTTTTCTTTCTCGTTAGTAGTATACGTATCTAATTCATCAATAATATATGAATCCATACGTGTTACATATTTGCACGTTATTTCATTAGACTAACATGTTTCATTAAGGCCTAATAAAAACAGCATTAGTGATATATATATATATATATATATATATATATATATATATATATGTGTATTCCAAAACAAAAATACTGTCCTTATCATGTCATCTTGTTGTGTTCGTCCAAACCCGATCAACTAAATAAAATATCATAATATTTGTGAACACTGTTGGATCTATCAAAATTTACAGTAGGCTATGGGTGTTGACGAGTTTTAAAACCTTTTTTTAGGACTCTACATATCGGTTCCTAAATATTTTGATTTCTAAGATGTTTTTGCTTACACAGTATAATAAATTTGCAATCCACTGTCTAAGCGTTCTAGCCACACCGGCGTGGAAGTGTGCCAGACAGAACAATGAGGTAGTGTTGTCTACGAATCCAATGTGATAAATTATCCATTTGCTTTGTATTGTCATAATTGCAAATTAGGCTTAGAAAGTTGATATACAGAGTTGACAAAGGATTGATCTAAAAGGTCTCCACCAGCTAACTTAATACTAACGTTACAAATTATGTTCAGTAAAAAATGATAATTGGTAGGCAAAAAATAGGTTAAAAAATGTTTCGGTGGTGTTAGTTATCTACTATTAATTATCAAGCCTATTCAAGAACTCCCTATGAGTGTTGTAAATATTAAAAACTTTATTGCAATAATTACAATCTTCTGGTAGGACTGGAAATACGTTGTTTGGTTAAAAATTACTTTTATTTAAAGGTGAAATCTTACTATTTTATTTGTAAACATAGTCTGATGGGTTTTCCATAACATGTCAGCATACTATAATAAAAGGAACTGAGTAAATCAAACAAAAATTCTTAATTAATAACAGATGAAAGTCTACTACAGTTATTATCACTACAGTATTAGGCCACTTCAGTGGCCCAAACCACAGAAAACAGTAATACGTCATAAGATTTGTTTTAGTTCTTCGTGTACGTAAATAAAGTGTACTAAATTTAAATATGTGTGGGACCTATGTGTATATGTATATATAATTGTATGAAACATAATGGAAAAGAGAAACATTTCTGAACCTATCAAAAACAAATTGAACCAACTAACTAAATGATTGTCTGGATAATTGAAATAAAGAAGTTTTTTTACACCGTTTATGAATACGTCTATTTAAATATACTAGAGGTCGTCCAGTGGACGAAAAATCGATAAAAAAAAGGGATTTATAGGATTCTCTAAATTCACCACACACTGTAAATAAAACATGTGTTTGGAATTTTTCTTCCAAACACAAAACTTCCAAACACATGTTTATTTATTTATTTATTTATTTAATAAATAAATAAATAAACATGCGTTTGGAATTTTTCTTCCATTTGTTTTGATTTTCTGTTCATATTTCATTGTTATTTCGTCACCATCATAGTAGCCTATAAGGCCCATGATAATTATCTTTAAATTTTAAATTCATTGTTTTGCTTCTTTTTGAGCCCATTGTAATTTATAAAGGGATTCTGCACATATACAGGAAAATATATTTCTAAAAGTATGCGTAGATTTTCCCTGTGATGCACACGAGCTGAGAAAAAAGGTTTTAAAGAAACATCCTTGTCTATTAATATATAGATTAGTCCATTAGAAACTTGGTATTCTATTTTTTTTTTTTTTTGTATTTTTATAGTATATTAAAATATTAAGATAATTACATTTCAGGCTGAAACAAAATATCCTTTTGTAGCCCAACAAATTGTAATTGCTCAGTCATTAATAATCAAACAATTGTCTAAACGCGGTGTACTGAATAATTAATTTGATCATTGTTACAACAAAGATAGACGGAATCATTATTAAAGCGTAAAATATAAACGTAAACTTTAAAAAAATAAACTACTTTATACAATACAACAAAATATAGTATCCAATATTATTAAATATTAACTATTAGCATTACTTAGAAAAGTGCAGTGCAAAAATATTGCCATTTCCTTGTGAAATGAAATATGAATTATATTATTTAAATTTGTTATTATTGCAACATAATGCAGTCAGTCCTCAAAGTTATAATGATACCTTATAAAGGTTGTTTAGTCCTCAATGTTTATACCTTTAGGGGTGGGGTATAAAATTATAAATAACTACTTGATCAGCATTGTACGGAAAAGTAAATAAAAGGAACGTCTTTTAACAATTAAAACATATATTTATGCTTATACTTTTGCTCACAAGACGGTAAATATAAAAAAAAAATTGTAATTGGTGATCAATTTCGATTGGGCGCTCCAATCATCATCAGACCCAATAGGCAAATGACATCGACAAAATGACAATCGATCGCCATCTTTTTTGTATATTTACCGTCTTGTGAGTAATAGTATAAACGTAAATATATGTTTTAAGACAGCGTTATAAGACGTTTCTTGTATTTACTTTCCTTAAAATTATAGTAGTTCTCAAAAAACATGTATTAAATTACAACATCGAATTTTAATTTTAGTTCTTACTCATTTTAAACATGAAATAGTTTCAGTAATCAACAGGCTGTAATCAAAAAGTAAACTTTTATATAGTGAACAGGCTGACTGAGTAATGTTCATTCAACAGCCATTAAACTTGGCCTTTGACCAGGCAATTAAATCATTTTATTACCAAACTACTTTGAGTTCTGATAGAAATTTAAATGGTTTGTTTGGTCTAGGCTGCTTGCAAAATGGATTGTTCAAATAAAAATCAAATATTTACTAAAAACAATATTTATCATAAACAATGCGAGTATGATGTGGTTGATCTTTAACAATGATTGAGTATGACATGCTACCAAATCTCTAGTGCTGTTATTTAGTAAATAATAAATTTTTAAGTAGGTATATCACTTTCTAATTAACCTACTAACGTTTTGCAAAGTTTAAAACAAATTAGAAACCTCCCATTAAGAATAATGAAATACTAATAATAGAATTATTTGTTGTACATATTATTTGATTTTAGTTTTTTTAATCTTATTTAAGAAAAAAATCTATATTTTTAAGAGTGAGTTACAACCATCGACATATAAAACTAACACTTAAAACTGTTAGTTTTATACATCGATGGTTACAACAGAATTGAATAAGAAACCAGTAATGCCATGACTCTTGGGTGAAATTTAGGCTCAATCATAATAGATATATTGTGCTACCTGACTCGAATTGATTTAAAGAGTCTTTTAAAAGATTAGTTTCTAATCAAAATTAATCTTTCCAGGTATAAAAATTTTTAGGGCTTACTTTCCTTAGGTAGGTTGAGAACAATTATTTTCTGTTGTAAAGAAGTACAATTGCTAAAAGCTTTCACTTGTTAGGATCACCGCAGTTGGATTCATTAATTTTGGACGGCTTGACAAGGTTCGTGGAGCTTCCTTTGGAGCTTAACTTTTCAAAATATTCGTTACTAAAATAATCTTTCTTGTTTATAAACTCATTTTTGTAAAGAATTTGTATACATTTGATACCGATTACAGGATAGTCTCCATTTCGTATCTTTCGGTGAGCAATGTATCGTTTTAAATTTATTAAGCTTATCTAATAGTATAATCTTGTGAATTGGACATTATATACTCATTTGTGTATTGAGGCCTATTTATACCTTCCCACTTCTTGACCTTTATTCATGTCGTTTTTTTTTTCAGACAAACATACTAGATCTTATAGAGTAAACAAATTTTAGATATCGTCAAGTGGCACCTTTTTGTGTTGATAAAACAAATGCGTTATCTCACATACACTTGTTGCGCACATACCTCATCTTTAAACTTATTTTTGAAAGTAGTGTTTTCAATATATTTTCCCATATGTGAAATATGTTCCTCTCAACAAACTCTTTCCCCCTTGTTGTTGGAAGGGGTGTCAGGGTGGCACCTGAAGGGAAGGTATGAGAACCTCCTAACTAGGTAGTTCTTCAACAGTTTCTAAAATTACCCACAACTTCCTCTTTTGTTCTTGTGCGTCCCCCAAGGGCACGAAGGGGGTTTTGGAGGGGGCCACAGGTGTGTGGAGGGGGTTTACTAGTTGACATAACCCCAAGCGGACCTTCTGGTGTAACTTTGAGGGGGGGGGGTGTTTAGGACTCGAATTAGGGGTTTTCCCTAGGTTTACCCCGAGTTCCTAAGTTATTGTACTTTCAAAGCCTCAGGGTACCCAGGGGGTGTGACCGGGGGGTGGGGTGGGAGGGGACTTACTGATTTCTATCGCCTCCAGCGGGCCCTCCGGTATCATGGTGGCGCCTCTCCTTGTGTACGATGCCCATCAGCTTCATCCAGGGGTTGTTCTGCGCGTGGCCCCCCATACCCCCGCTCTGCCACATGGCAATGGTGGAGGTTCATTCGTCACACCGCACAACACAAACACAGAGCGACAGAGCGACACGCTCGACGCTCACCGGACACTCGCCCGCACAACACTGCGGACGGGGAGCGTCGCTACGTCCACCCCCACCACCACCTGTAGCGCCGCGGCGTTCCCACCCCCACCCCCACTGCGACACACGCACGCACCTCGGCGTGCTGCGAGTATCGATTGAGACGTCACTTCTGGACCACGGAGGAACTGCACGGTGCACCTGCACAGCCACCCTGTAGCTCAACGAACACTTACTTGGATGGCTTTGCGAGTTGTCACAAACAGTGCAACATTTGTTTTGGTGTAGCGCTTGTTTAGCCTGGTTAGCTAAAGTGACATTTTCCAGTGTACTTACAAAAACCATTGTTGGTTTGTACTTGGATAGCCAAGTTGAACCAAGTAGGTACACTTCTCGGACCAAGGAGGAATTGGAAATGGGGTGGATGTAGCTCTCTGAATACTTCCTTACGCATCTGAGCAAGTTTGGTGCGGCTTTGTACTTTACCACAAACGGTGACAAATCTGTTTTGGTATGGCCATTGAGTAACTCAACGGTATGGCACTAGTAGAGGCTGAGCAGCTAAGGTGTATTTTCAAGTGTACATAATTAGATAGCCAAGATGATCCTCGTACAGGACCTTTTTCAAGCAAAAAATAAGACTATCCTTGACTTAGGTTGTTTACCTTTTCTTATTTTCGCTGGTGAAAGAAACAATTAGTCATAGTTAGAAACGACACTATAGAAGAAAGTTCACCGATCTCGTTTTGCACTTTTCCTCATTTTAAGTAAAAATATTCATAATCTGCTTTCCTAAGCTGTGCTGTTCTACAAATATACTTTTATTACATATTCACGTACCAAAATTCATTAATCATATGCTAATCGTATTTACTTTGAGTGTTTTCAACTATTTTCACTAACCCAGAGATGTCTGCTTCAATAATATCTTTCTAAGTACCTACCTTATTCTACGAAATATTTTATATTCCGATGGTACTTTATTAAGTCATAATTAATTACGGTGCTAGAAACAATGACGGTAAATATCACCACCCAGAGAATGGCATGTATAATGTAGTTTGCAGGTGTTAAACTGGTCTACTTAGTAATAAGTCTTAAATTATAATATGCATTATAATATACATTGAAAAATGTATTGCCTTATCGACTTGTTTTTACCTCTCTGCACGGATGGACCTAAGGTTTAAAGCTAGCTCCAAAACTCTTTATGGCATGATGCCAGCTAAAACCAAAATGTTAGTAGGATTTGAATAATACTATTCAGTGCAGAAAGCACGCGCTGTATCTACCTCAGCCATATTCCGATTTTTAAATAACAAGCGTAAATGAACTTGTTGAACATGGCTAGACTATGGCTCCAACCGCTTTATTCGCCTTGTAACCGTGGTTGTTGTGGTGTATTACAACTGTAGATGATGATTACTGTTTGTAACCACGTCTTCAATTTCTTAACCATAATCTCGTCGTCGTAATTGTGTGCAAAGTTATGATTCGTGTAAAAGAAACGTTTAAAGTTTGAAATTTCCAACAGGAATTTTTTACAGAAGCACAAATAGCAAACAGTTGTTCATCAAACCAATTGAGAACAGACCTAAGTTCATGTTTAATTAAAGGTTTTATTCACAAATGGTATGGAGGAAAGGCCATCAAATTTTATGCACAGAGTGAAGTAAATCTTCAGAATTCAAGGAAAACCCCTCAGTCGAAATAAAGCAAGTGAAACAATGTATTAACCAAGTGCTCTTGGCGGTCCCTCTTTTCATTAGACGCATCTAATGAGTGCGTGGTTAAAACCGGAGACACAAAAGATGTCGGGACTTACATCTGAGTTGACTCAATTATTTGACGTTTGCTAAACAGAATATAACTTCATGGTAGATGTTAGCCTCCGTATTGCCAAATAATAATAACAAGGTGTATACAGCTGCTATTAAGCAATCAATTCAATTGTAGTTGCAACTAGTTTCGGCTCCTATGTGGAGCAATCGTCAGGCAGTACAAGGAAGTTTCCTTTACATAAAGGCATAACATTTAACACATAAATAAATACACATTTACACACGATACGAACATGGAAAAACATTGATGGTAACTGATCAGTTATAACAGACGACGCTCCGACGGAGTTTGAGTCCAGTTCGTTCGATACGAGTTTTTTTTCCGTATTTTGTATTTATGTGCTGAATTTCACGCTCTTCATATAAGGAAAGTAAACGTCCTACCACCTGATGATGGCTCTACAAATGAGCCGAAACTAGTTGCAGCTGCAATGGACGCAGCTATGACCTTTTTAGGATATAACTGAAAATTGACAACTACCGGTGGAGGCGACGACAGGTTACATTTAAACCAAATTGTGATTATTATTGTTTAAGTAAGTTCATGAGTGCACAAGTGAGGGATTTTTTGAGCGAACACACCGATGGTAAATCGGATCAAGAAGTAAAAAAAAAATACTTAGAGTTCATTATATTTTGAAGTTATCATATGAATTTATAATCTCATGGTTTAATACTATCACCATGGTTAAAGATATAGTTAGGCCTACTGCTGTAGGTTCTTAAAAATTAATAATATCGAGTCCTTAGAACAAAATTTACTTTGATGGTAAAACCAATTAAATCCGTCTTTAAATCAAATTAAACTAATTATTTTTTAGTTTTCTTGGGTTTAATGTATGTTTACCTTACTTAATGTATTTCAAAGTTATGCATTAATTTATTTCCCAAACAAAATATTTATTTCATAAATCCTTTGAGATAGTTTAGCTACAAAACTTATCTGCTTAAAAAAATATATTTTTGGATTCGAGTATTTTTTATTTTGAGAAGGCCCTAAACCGGTTGCTAAGCTGCTTAACACGCGCTAACATCAAATTTAACTCTCTTGACTTTTAAAGTTAGCCTCTTCGCCACAGCGAACTATTTTCCAACAAAACAACCCTATTAGCTTAACTATGTTAAACATTTAAACTTTCCACTTGTGTAGGCAAGTAGCGCCTTTAGACAGAAATAATGACAACAAAACTTTACACCTTACAACAAACCATCATGTATTTCTTTTAAGTTGTGTTTTTTTTTACTGATCTAAATGTTGAAATAATTTGTTATGTATGTAAGCAGGTTTTCATGTAGTTATACTAGTAATGAAATAGGTATTGAGTAAAGAACTTAGTGTATTGTAAAATGAAAACCTAATAATATATGGAACACTTTTCTTATATTCTGACCGTAATTATAAGTATTTTTCTCATTTATTTAAGATACTTAAAATTGGACGATAAAAGGACTTTTTGTAGCAATTTTCAGACAATGAAACCAAAACAGAGTTCATCATTATGTTTTTTGTTTCCCTACAAAAATTTGCAATTTTATTCTGATTATTATATTCTGTACATAGATGGTAAATCAAACCAGAGTTCTCTGTGATTTTCAAGAATAAGAAACACGCCTATTCATAGGGTCAAAAAGTGGGAAGAGTTAGAACAGATTTCATTTTATGAATCCTATCGAGTCTCACAAGTTTAAATTGGCTATGAAATAGATATATTTGTTTGTGTGGCACGGATTACACCTACAACCTATCTCTGCCTACAAACTTTGATTAGATCACAACGTTGGAGTAGAAGTGAGTTTGTCAATCTTTTGATTGCCAATCCGGACATAGGAGCCGTTACATACAGTGAGGAATCGCTTAAAACTGTACCGAAAAGTGGAAGTTTTAGTGACAAAACACTAGTTTTATTAGATTTTTTTCTTCCCCCCCCCCCCTTGGACGCTAGGCACGAGCCCGGAATTGTTTTTCACATTACTTCAGGCTAGACCTAGGGGTTACGGCATGATCACTTGCATGAAATCCATTGGTGATTTTGGAGGGATTTTAACCCGGGATCCCAGGAACCGGTCGCGCGCTCTAACCACTAGACCAGCTCGCCCCCCTGTATAAAACATAAAGTAAAATACCCCCGTCGCAGCAAACCTGCAGACTAAGCGAATTTCAACATGTCTGATTATATTTTCACTAAAATATTTCCATAAATAAGACATATTTATTCCCTATTTCAATAACATTAGATTTAACGATTGCTTAGGTTTGCTGCTACGGGGAAGGTAAAAAGTGTTTTTTTTTTTTTACTATACGTCAATAGTATAGGATGAAATAAATAAATTTGCCAAATTGTATCAATATATATCCATAAACAAGTAAACTACAACAATTTTCATTTTCTCCATAAGAATATGGGCATTTTAAATTACACTATTTTTGAATTTTCTCCGTGACCGTTAGGCATACAACAGCGCTTCAATAGACTAAATTATTTCTTTTCTAAGCTCTACAAAATGGTTTAAAAATAAATTGCAATTTTTTTTGGGGGGGTCAAAAATGGGTAACCCCCATTTTTACCCCATAAAATCCCCCATTAACCCCCGTTCCCATGGTCCGATTATGCTGGATCGCGAACTCGTTCGAATAAACGTAGGTTTACACGTTTGTACCAAATTTAATCAAAATCGGATCATTTTTGCTCGAGTTATCGCGCTAACGGACACACATACTCGTATATATGAATTTGAACGGATGGTGTTTTTGGCCTCTAGGGACCTCAAAATGAAAAATTAAATCGGTCCCGGGTCCAGGTCTTACCATGAGTACTACGGTAATAGCTGCTTATTCCCTATATCGGAAATTCGCTAAAACAGACAAAACACTAGTAGAAATGTATTATTTCCACATATATTATCATTTGACCAATCTCGTTTGAAAGTTTTTTTCTGAAACATAAAACCCCGCTGCAGACTAAGCGAATCCCCATGTACCTGGCTGGATATTTCCAAGAAAATACTCCCTTAAAATTGTTAGTTTTATTTCCTCTGTAAATATAATTAATTTTAATGAGGTTTGCTGCTACAGGGAAGAAAATGAGGTATGTGTTTTATTTAAATGTTGATAGCGCAGTATGAAATAAATAAAATTGCCAAATTTGATTAAAATATATCCACAAACAAGCAAACTACAAC